CAACCCAACCCCAGCAAGAATCAACAAGTCAGCCAAGACACATAAGAGGCTTCTCAATGGTCGATTTGGCCCTGTCATATAATATTGCAGAAGATCTTTTGAGTCAGTGTTCAAATGCTACATATGTTCAAATACTACAGATACCCAAACAATGTAAAAATCTTGCTCAAGCCTTGCGTCGTCCCCTCATAACCCCAGTAGAAGAGACCCATATGGCAGACCCCAAGTCAAATTCCAGAACTACCGCTGCTAAATGCTACGTCAGGGTTAAGAATAACCCAATTTTGGCAGTTTTAGATTCTGGGACCACTGTAAGTATTTTGTCCAAGAAGTTAATGGACAAACTAGAGTTAAAAATCCAGAAACCATCAACCGCCATTGTTGTTACTGCTAATAGAAGTCGAGAGCAGGCTTTAGGAAAAATAGAAAACTTAAAATTAGCCGTTAGAAGTATATTAGTTCCTACAAACTTCCAAGTTATCAAATCAACCGATGAAATCATGCTTCTTGGCATAAACTGGTTTTAAAAAGTCTGAGCCCGAATTCATTTGATAAACAAAAATTGCTCTTCAGGTACTCAGGGAGGAGCAGCGAAATCTCTATAATCCAAACCCGTGATGACAAGTTAGAACTTCCTCAAGAAACATATAGTAGCGACGAAGATGATTTTTTTGATATATATGAGGAAAAAGACCTAGAAGAAGTCAAAAGTTATCATACTGACGATACCCAAACAGAAGATGAAGAGTTGTTCTACAACCCCTAGGAAGAAGAGTATAGCCCCGCCATATATTTGATCGCTATCGAGGAAATTCCCACCCGGAAGTTAATAATAAACCTGAACAACCCCTGCCAAAATAATTGATAAGTTAGTAAGAATTGAAACCTTGGATGAAAAGCAGCAAGCCGAAGCTCTACGTATCCTACAAGAATCACGCGGTTTGTTTGCATCTGGGTTGGATGAATTAGGCCAGTACCAAGAGATCCAGTATGTAATCGATACCGGTAATGCAAAACTTGTCAAACAATCGGCATATCGGGTTTTACCAGATGAGCAAGACTTTCTAAACAGGAAATAGAAAAAATGTTAAAAAATAAATTAATTAGTGAGATAAAAAGTCCTTGGACGTTGCCGGTTGTAATCATCTCTAAGAAAAATGGTAAACTTAGAATATGTGTCGATTACAGAAAATTGAATGCTGTTATGAAAAAAGACGCGTTCTCCTTACCCTGTATCGACGATTTATTAGAAATGTTTGGCAAAGCTAGATGGTTTTCTTCTCTTGATCTAACCAGTAGATACTAGCAAATAACAATAAAACCTGAAGATTGT